TGAGGGGAAGTCTGGGAATCTGCTTGGCTCTGTTCTATACATGCCTGAGATAAGTGTAAAAAAATGCATTTATTGCATCATGCAATGTCTAAGAGCTTGGAATCTGTAGCTTAACTGCCTTTAATTGCATTGGCTGTTGTCATTTGCAAAGGTCACTACTTACAAGCTATATGACCTTGAGAAAGTTAGAGAATCTCACCAAACCTTAATTTCTTTTCCCTTTTATTAAATTTTTAAAGTTGTATATGGGCTCAATGCCTTCATTTGTTTTTATGCGATGCTAGAATCGAACCCAGTGCCTCACACTTGCAAGGCAAGTGCTGTACCACTGAGCTATAACTCCAGCCCCTTAATTTCTTTACCTGTAAGAAAATAATGAAAGTATACTTAACCTTTATATTTTTGTCATATCTGTCACTAAATACACAATATTAATAATTTTATGCTTCTTTGAAAATACTTTTATATGATGGAGTGATCATYTATTTTCAATATTGTTTATAAATAGCAGTTTTGTTCTTGCTTACCATAAACACATATATTACATGTATAAAATACAAAATGCTCTTTTGCCAAAATTCAGTACACTCTTAGCTATTTCAGAATTAATATATTGCTTTTTAAAGGACTATAGCCTCACTTTATATTTTTTCCTTTGGTGTCAATATCCTTTATGTGAATTCAGATTCTGAGCCATTTGATAAACATGTTAGATTGTAAAGACTCACTACTGACCTTTCTAATGAGAGGAAAAAACTGTGCCTCTTTGTTTTCTACTTGTAAAGCTGAATCCCAGGAGACTTTACAATGTACTTAATTTTCAATTTATGGACAGGGTGGGACCCTAAAACAGAACTGTTCAAGTAATAAAAACTTAAGGGACAAATTGAATATTGTATTTGAGAACCAAATGCTATAACTGTAACTTATTAAAGTTAAAAATTAACATTGAAAATTTCCTGTTTCCTTAATCCTAATCTATTAAAAGCAACAATTATATCTATAAATAGCAGAGTCTTTAGGCTCAGTAAACAAATGATGCCCATCCCATTCTATTCTTAGATAAAATGAGATTCTTATCTCTAAATATTGTTAGTCTTTCCAGACAAACAAAAAGGAATTCTCACAGAGGAAGTGAAGTTAGTTGCTAATGAATCATTTAGAGATGAGAAGGTCAGTAAAGCTTGTTTTCCACAAAGGAGAACACAGACATTGCATCCCTGGGGAAAATATTAGGATTATAAGAAAGGGAATTAAAATTAAGAAAATAAAATAATTATTTTATCTTCTAGGATCTATTAGGAAATACAGGTAATACCAATGCTCCTCAACAGATGATGGGGTTGTGTCCTGATAAACCCATCATAAGTTGACAGTGAAGTTGTATGCTTAATGTACCTGAGCTACCAAACACCATAGCTTAGCCTAGCCTGTCTTCAGTGATCTGAGTGTATTTACATCAACCAACTGTTAGGCGAAATTATCTAATCCCAAACCTAAGTGTTGACTCTTTCATGTAATGTACTGATTGAAAAACAGAATGGTTGTATGGGTGTATTTTCCCACCACTGTAAAGTTGGAAAGTTATAAGTTGAACCTCTAAAGTTGAGGGCTGTCTGAACACATTTCTGAATTCATGGTAACTATACACCTTTTTTTTTTTTGCCTGCTTCATTATGAGTACATAGGGGTGTGTGTGTGTGTGTGTGTGTGTGTGTGTGTGTGTGTGTGTGATAACTGAGGGTCAGAGGAAAGAACCACAGTGGTAACTCTGTAGCTGGTTTAAAACACTGTAATGTCTGGATCCTCTGAACTGTAAAGTCTGTGAGTCCATAGGAACTCAGGGAAGTTAAAAGTATAAAAGACAAGAAAGAATCAAGGCTATGATGGGCCTCCAAGCCAGGGTTCTATAATGGTACTCTTTTGGGTAGGTGAGGAAAGGATAATAATACCTGTTTTATCTACCTCACAACATTACATAAAGTAATCAAGAAAGCTAATAAAGGGCACATTGCTTTGAAAGTTAGAAGTTGATTTAATCATTAGGGACTATAGTCATTTATTAATTATTATCATCATCAAAAATTTCTCTACATTAAAAAAGAGAGAAGAATAACTGGATTTTGGAAATAACCTTTGTTTTTGGTAACATTACTGTTCTCCAAAAATCTTGCTTACTTTATGCTTTTTCTTTCCATGTCAATGTTCTTCCTGTGAATTCAGATTCTGAGTCATTTGAAAAACATGTAAAATTGTAAAGTCTCACTACTGTCCTTTCTAATGAGAGGAAAAAGGGTCCCACATGTTTGATGAATAACTAAACAAACTGAAAACAAAGCAGATTTTTCAGTTTGAAATGCAGTACTCTGATAACCTAACTGTGATCCAAGCCCCAATTATTCAAAACTTCAGCCCCATTCATTTGAACTGAAACACTGGCGGTTTACAGCAACAAGTAGTGATTGACACAGTGTATGGTGAATCACTTCCAGTTTACAGCATTCCTGAAATGAACCACAGAAAAAGCTTAGATAACTGAGTACTTCCAGTATTRTGGGTGGTCTTTGGATGCTCCTTTGGCCACCTTCTCCTCTTATAAATGATTATTGATTCCAAAGCTTTTATTCATCCTTCCAGAAGGCTATGGCTGTCAATGGGTGTTTTGTCAGTAGGAAGGACACCAACTCCTTCCATGTTTCCTCATAGCAGAGATTCTTTAGGAAGGAAATCACTTGTTGGTTCTTGTGTTCCTCCCTAGTGCCACTTCCATTCCTGGGAATTCTACCCATCTGGGCTAGATTTGGGGCCACTGGAGGATGCTGTACAGTCACTGATTCTCTTGTAAGACATTCAAATTTTCTACCCCCAATGCAGAGTACAGTTAGGACACATTTCATGAGGTCTGACAGGGCAGATGAAAGACAAAAATTAGTTTGGTGTGTCAATAACTAGAAGAGGCTTTTATAGAAACATGGAATTATGATTAAATTAAGAAATGAAAAAGAGAACATGAATATTTTTGTCTTAATTTCATCTTGAAATGTGTTCAGGAAGTTATTCTACACTGACTAAACTGAAATCCATTGAGATCCATGTGCAAGAGATGTTTACTTTTTTCTTGAAATCTCAGAAATTATCTAGTACAACCATGTCATTATAATGCGAAGACCAGCTATCATTAACTACAAAGCTTGTAATATATACTTGGTATTGTTCTAAACAGTAAACATATATAAACACACATAACCACAATATATGAATTACCTGTAAGCCTTATAACAGTTGAACAATGTAGGTATTATTATCTTTGGTTTACATATTAGGAAACTGAGGCTCAGAGAAAATAAGTGACTTGCCCAAGGCAGAATAGGAATGGTGAGTCAAGTTTTGCACTCAGAAATAACCTTGCTCCAAAGCCTGCTTAGTTTCCATTACACTGTGTAGTTACAAAGACAGGAATAGAAACAGACTTTCTGACTCCCTCTCCCATTCCCTTTCCAGAAAGCCAAGATGGACTGAGATTTACTAACTTGTAACAGTAATGCAATTTGCTTCCTATGCTCACTTCTTTTATTGAACCATTAGAATGAAACAAGCTACCTCAAAAGTGCAGCCCTTGAAACCAATAATTATATTTTTGTAGGAAACAAATTATTTCACGGGACACCAAAAGAAAGGACATGCTCTTACTTCTATGGTTCTCAGAAGACTGTCATGTCCTCAGAGTTGGCCAGCCTTGATGAGTTTCTTGGAACAGTTATAAAAAAGGTCTTTGACTGCATGAAGTCCAGAACTTTGCTTCTATTGGATGTGAAGCTCATGAAAATGACTGAAATCAAACCATATAGTTTTTGCATGTTCTTGGAGTGGTAGCATTGAACTGGTAGAGTAAAACAAGCTAGGAGTAAAAAGGCATTACTTGCAAGATGGAGGAAAGATCCAAGAAGAAATTTTCAATAGAAAAATGTCACACATATTTATAACCTTTAAGAGTTTTTTTTTCTTGTTTTCTTCTTGAAAATATAAATAATAGGAAAATACAAGAATAAGTTTACTTTTGGTAAAAACTAATTAAGACCCATTTTTTGAACAATAATTTGGATATGTATGTGTTATGGGAAGTTAACTTTGAATCTCTGATATTCATGAACATGTTTGATTATAAAATTAGGCTGAGGATAGAAAATCTCATTGAGACTGAAAAAAATGTTAGTAATTATGTACAAGCTTTGTTTTGCCTAAGTGTCTGCCTTTGGTAATGAATAGGGGTGAAGCAGTATGTTCAGTGGAAGGAACATTGAATTGTGTGTGGTCTACTGTGGGTGTCACCTGTCCCTTCTACCTCAACCTTGTGCTCTTGGGAAAATTATTGATCCTTCTCTGAGTTTGGTTCCCTGAGTATTCAATGTTAGAACTTGTCTAGATTCTCCCTTAGGGTCATTTATCCCTTATGACAATTAATTTAGATAATTCAGAACATATGTGGATAGAGTTAATAAGGCCCCTAGATTCTTACACTATAAGCAGTTTTCTCCAAATATAGAAATCTTTACCTTTGTACCTGACTGGTAGGACAACTAACCTGTCTTCTTTTCTCCTCCCTTTCCACTTATGAAGGGAACTCAGTTGGAAACATGTTGCCTACCAGGTCATATGTCTTGCTCTAATAAGGAACTCAGCTCTTACCCAGGATTATAGAGTGCTCAACTTTGGGTAGGTCCTTGGATTCAGTCCCTCACTTTTCTGGGGGAGGTATCATGAAAACACTTTACTACTTTAGAAATAGATATTATCTGCTCAAATCTGCCACCTTGACAGGATCCTAAAGGATGGAAGATAGATTGGTGTGGTGTACGAAGTCTAGCATGAGCCTGAACAACTGGTTTTATGTGTCACCAACCTGCCAGTATATAAATGAGCTGTGTCTCACAAGTTCCGTCTTAGAGAACCAGTGAGCGATGCATGGAGCAGACCTGTAGCCACCTTACATCATCTTCAACATGAAGTCAGTCACAGTGCCAATACTTCTGACCCTGGCTCTTTGCCTCATTCAAGGTGAGTAATTTGCATGCAATCTAAGCCTCTTGCCACACATCTCAAAGCCCTGGGGAAGGGCCTTTTTCCCCAAATTGCCAAGAAAATGCTTATGTATATCTATAATTTTGAAATGTCTTGCCGATATAGGTTTTGAAGATTTAGATACACGAGTTTGTAATTATTATGTCAACTTTAGAATTAGCAAGTAGTTTAAAAACATCTTAATTTTTATCCATGAGCAATTCTTCTACTAATTCTCTACTAGTTCTGAAAGGAGAATAGATTCTTCTTCACCTTCCCCTCACCAAACTTATCAATTCACTCTACATATGTATGTTAAACATTAAAAAAAACTTTTGCAAGTAATATAGACAGCTTAATTCTATATGTATAAATAAAATATTTCAAAAGCAAAATTTTATTATCTATCCTTATTTTAAAGCAAATGTCCCTTCTACCTTATTTTATTTCTGTGTTTTCAAGTGCTAAATGGATTGAAAGTATTGCTCCTAAAATGAGAAGGATTTTTGTATGAGCTAAAAGATGAGTTTTAGCATTTTATGTTTTATTGTGAAGGGAATATAGATTGCCTAGATTTATCTTGTTCTGAATCACTTTTTAAAAAAGAACTACATAAATAAAGTGATATCATTATTCACAAATGATACCCACTTTCCTAAAATAAATGTATAGGTAGGTACAAGACAGTTAATGAGGGTATATCATAGTCTGATTTTAATTAATCTTTCTTTTATCATATCTTTAATRTTTGAATCTACAGTAAGTAGGCAGAGTTGCCAGAATTTAGAAAATGGAATTTTGTGTATATATGTGATAAACTTTGTGCTCTATTATGCTTTTAAATTAAATTTAAAGGGATATGACATCTTTGGTAGTATGTTACATTACAATTTATAAATGGAGACTGCCATACTTTACTCTGAAAGGATCTTTTGGAAATTAGATATTTTGAGTGTGTCAGAAAGCATCTGAGTATTAGTTCCCAAAGAATTTCAGCTTTCTGAGTGAGTAGACCTTCGTGAGTGTACATGCTGAATTCCTTGTGCCACTACCCTCATTATATTTGCAGTGATAAATCTTAATGTGTTCAAAAATAATTTGTGGTTTTACAACGTATTATTATTAAAGCAATCAAAACACTGCATTGAGTGAATCATTTTTTTCATTTACCGGTTTACATTCCCTTAACTTTGGTTTCTGCATTTTCATCCCAGATGCTGCCAGTGAAGATGCAAATCAGGTTAGTCTTGCTTTTTCTCATTGAATCCATTCCAAGATGCCTAAAGAAAAATGGTTTGTAGCCAAAACCTTCATGTTAATAACGCCAACATTATACAGATGGGTCATAAGAGCTTTCGATAAATACACAGTGAACAGGTTTTTAGGACTCAAGACATGAATCCCTCTGTCTGTCTTTCTCATTCTCTTTCCCATATGCACACAACCAATGTTTTGATGATGATTAATGTCTATAAGAGACAATCTATTGTGCTAAAGAAGTGCTTTAAAATCCCATAAACAAACACAAAATAAATCAATCAAAAACCATACTGTTGTTCTACTTAGCAGCTGAACAAGCCATGGTACACCACTTAAAGAGCCAAATGTTTTCATAATCATTGTGCAAAAGAGGTTGTTCATATCTTGTTTGTAGTCAGTGTAAATATTCCATCCAATAAACATATATTGAGCATCTATTATGTGTCAGACCCTGTTTGTAATGCTGGGGATATTCTAAAGTAAACAAAATAGTTGAAAACTCTGCCTTTCTGACTTGTATTTTAGTAAAGAGATGAGTTAATAACTAAATTAGTAAAATATATAGTACATTAATTAATGATTATTGCTAGGAGAAAAATAAAGTGGGATTCAGGATAGTAATTCCAGGAAATGGAGGTGGTATCACTTCTCACTGGAATAGTCAGGGACCTTCTCCCTGAAGAGAAAGATTGGAACAAGAATCTGAAGGTTCATTAGAAGAAGATTTTTGCAACTTCTAACAGAATAGGCAGAAGCACCCAGAGGCCCTGATACAGGAAGAAGGTGCTGAACCAACCAGAAAGGGTCTTTTCTTTGAGAAACAGAATAATCATTTTCTATGGAAATAATTTTTTTAACTCTTAGAAAGACAAAAGGGCCAATATCCCTCCATGCACACACACTGCTATTCATGCCATTAATTGAACACTAAAAATGGTGTTATGTACGTAACAAAATTTACTGAATTGCTCAAAGACTATAAACATTAAGATAATAAAAACTGAAATGATTCTTCTGCCTTTTGAAATTCTTTGAACCATAATTAAATTATTTTTTGCTCTATTTTATTGAAAAAAGATTTTAAAAAGATAATTCTCACAGTAATAACCCAGGGAATGCCATCATAGTCTCTTTCATCTAAGTTTGCTGATTAAGGAGAGCTCTAGAAACTGTAGTAGAGTAGAGGAAAAGGCTTGATTTGGGGGAACCAGAGAGCATGCTCAGTTGGAAAAAAGAAGAGTGTAGTACAGATCTCACAGCACCAAGCCAACATTTTCTTTTTCAGAATCCATGAGAATAGGTGATTATTGATAATTTTGCACTGATTTTTTTAATATGGCTACATTCTATTTCACCAAACATTGTCTAAAAAATATAGGTTTAGCTACATCATATCAGCATAAAAGGCAGATAGAAAGGAAAACTATTGATGGTAATGTTGTTCTTTTCCATGTTCAGTTGCTAGAGATCTTTCCAGCATCAAACAAGCATGCTGAGTGTTAAAAACATGAGCCAGAACAGCATAGAAAAGCACTCTAGCACTTTTTAAATTTGTCAACACAGAAGGGTCCTTGTGAAGCCAAAGCAAATGTGTTATTACTCTGATACCCAGATAGGGTGATGCCAGTTCTTGGACAGTTATGATGGATAATGCAAGATCGCAACAAAAGAGGCAAACAAAGAGCAGTTGACCCAAGAGGGCTCCAGACATGCAGAAAATAAGGATAGCAACAATATCAAAAGAAGAGTGAGCTGAGGACAGGCAGTCACACCGCCGGCTAATAGTGACTAGAAAATCATCACCTCACCTCAACACGACTTATTGGTCTAGATCTTCTCCTGCTTCAACAGGCTGTATCATGGCAATTGAGAGAGAGTCCATTTACCCCAGAGAGAAATACAACTTCTGCTTTCAATTTATATGGCCTTTTCCTGTGTCCCAGGAGAATCACTAGTTAATTTTATGACTCAGAAAAAATAATACTGAGCCTCATCTTAAGTAATTGATACTTTGAGCAAGTTTCTTAATCTTCTCGCTAAACCTTTGTAAAACAAACAAACAAATAAATAAATAGATGTGAATCTTTCTAGGAACTTAGCTCTCATCTAATTGTGACATTGTAGGTGTTCAATTCAGAATTTATCTGGATAGATGCTAAACTTTTATGATCAGCCACTAATAATTATTTAGAGCTTAATTCTAATATTATTATGTCCTTGCTCTATATATTTTCTCTAAGATAACTTCATAAGGGATTTAGTTCTATTATGAAGACACAAACTCTTCTCTCATTCCATTGACATGTTTTTAGGATGTTTCAGAACCAATTATATCTGGCAATTGAGGCAGTAACTTACAAAGTTGGCATAAAATACTATAGAATCAGAGACCAGACACAGATGTCAAGATGCCTAGACATGAATCTATAGTCAGAAATTAACACTGTGATACTCTGACAGTATCACTGGGTGGAGATGATAATCTTAAGAGTTATTTTAACAGGTCATCCTTAGTAAAATTTCCAAGGTCTGGACTCTGATATTTTTTATTGTTCTTTACCATTAATCATTTTGTTAGTGCTTCCAACAGCCCATCATGCATATGAGGCTAGATTATCCATTAGACTATAAGCACTATTCTGGAAAGGATATTTCTGTCTAATTTGCTACTGTATCTGACACCTGACAAAATACAATAATCTCATAATAAGTGATTGTTATTGATCGAAGTATTACAAAGATATAGGGGCTCAATAGAATTGTATAATCAGCACTTTTGAGAAGGTTGTCAGAGTTGGAACAAAGATTTTATTTATTTTCTGAAGCAAGCATTATGAAGAATTATTCTTTTGAAAAGATCAAAATATAATAAAATCTTATATCCCAAAGGCTTGATCCAAGGACCTAGTGAACTTTCTAAGCTAAAAGGGAATATTAACACTTTAAGTCAGTACTTTGCTAGATGGCACCAATGCACCACTGATTTTTTTTTTTTTTTTGTACCAGGTATTGAACCCAGGGGCACTTACTCACTGAGCCACATCCCCAGCCCTTTTTCATATCTTATTTAGAAACAGGGTCTCACTGAGTTATTAAGGGCCTCGCTAAACTACTGAGGCTGTCTTTGAACTCTCCATCCTGCTGCCTCAGCCTCCAGAGCCGCTGGGGCACCAATGATTTTTAAACTCCTTAAAAAGATTGAGTGACATATTCAGTAGGCCTTTAATAAGACATTTTGAACCAATAAATGAGAAGAAAGAACCATCACTTTTAAAGATGATTCTACTGTCATTCCCCTATCCTCTCTAACATGCATAATGATTTCCACTTTCCTCTCTAACCTCGGTATAGTGCAATCATTGGTATTTACCAAAGCTCATAGCACATAGCAAAATATGTCTTCAAGGATGTTGCACAGAATAGTCAAACAGTGGTACAGGAGAATGATCCAAGAGAGACAAATGGACAGACAGAGAGGGGTAGGTTTTTTTTTTTTTTAAGGAAATTTTCACTTTTTGAAAAGAATTGCTCAATAACTTATTTATTTATTTTTTATGTGGTGCTGAGGATCGAACCCAGTGCCTCACACATGCTAGGCAAGCACTCTACCATTAAGCCACAGCCCCAGTCCCAGGGGTAGGTTTTGAGACAATGGCACAATACTTCCATGGACTCACAAGCTTTTATTTTGGTTGTAGTGACAGAGTTGATATTGAAGATGTTGTTATTGGGGTAGGAGTGGAGGCAATTTTAAGAAAAGAATACAAAGTTGAAAATAAAGAATGGCTAGGACTCTCTCACAACCTTGGGAGAAGGGCCATGCACCTTCAACTTTATTAACTTTTTTTTTAATGGCACCAGGGATTGAACCTAGGGGCACTTAAACACTGAGCCCCATCCCCAACCCTTTATTATATTTTATTTAGAGATAGATAGGGTCTCCCTGAGTTTCTTAGGGCTTTGCTAAATTGCTGAGGCTGGCTTAGAACTTGTGATCCTTCTGCCTCAACCTCCTGAGCAGCTGGGATTACAGGCATGCACCACCTCACCTGGCCACAAACTTTGTTAACTTTCTCTCTCTCTCTCTCTCTCTCTCTCTCTCTCTCTCTCTCTCTATCTATATATATATATATATATATATATATATATATATAGTGCTGAGTATCAAACCTAGTGTCTCATACATGCTAGGCAAGTGGTCTACCACTGAGCCACAATCCCAGCCCAACTTTGTTAACTTTACAGTAATCTTTGCATATTCCAATAATCATAATGACCAGAACCATAATAATATTACTAATAATAATGAAAGAAAATTTACTTATTGAATATTTTCTGTGTATCAGATATTCTTCAAAGACTTTACATAAATTCACAAAATCTAATCTTCCTACAACCTATGAAATGTATATATTTGTATCCCCTGTTTTATTTTTATTTTGAGACAAGATCTCACTAAGTTGCTGAGGGTGTTGCTGAGTTGCTGAGGCTGGCTTTGAACTCATGATCTTCCTGCCTCAGCCTCCCAAGCTGCTGGGATTACAGGCCTGTGCTACTGTACCCAACATCCTCATTTTAGATAGCATAACTGAATGAATAAATGACAGCCATGAAATATTAGCTCAGTTTTGTTTTAACTCCCAGACCCTTATTCTGCCTATTTCACTAATTGTATCAGATAAATGCTTCTTAGATGAATTTTCTATCTTCAACAGGAGAGCCCAAGTTGTGTTTTTTTGTTTGTGTTATTTGAAGCAATTGACTGAATGTTTTCTGTGGAGGGGATAGTAATCGTTAAGTTATACTGTCTAAGGAGGTTTTTCTTAAAGTTTTGTTTTGACAAATTTTTAGCCAATTSAACCCCCGCTTCCTCTTTGTAGGAAACATGCAGTGGATTTCAAGACTTGATGAAAAATGGGAAATTGTTCTGTTCTCAGGATAAAAAACTTTTTCAAAGCCCTCAAGGAAAATTGCTCTTCAACAAATGTGTCACATGCAAAATGATACTGTGAGTAAAGTTCCTCTTTCTTTCAAGTTTTTGAGGTACATGCTATTCTCTGAACTAGAGGAAATTATTTTTCTAAACTTGAATGGCTAAATAAAAATGCTTAGAAAACTCTTGGATAATTACAACCTACCTAGAATGATTTTAGTAATCACTCAAATGGGATCCCAAAGGCATTTCAGAGGACCCAATATTAATATCTTATGTAGCAAACTACAGCCTTCTGATAAAGTAGTTGGGTTTTGATTTGGGGAAAAAAGAATTTAGGAAATGAAGTCAGTTTCCTTGGACCTAATTCTGTTGTAGTGGGACTGGGGTGGGGGTCTTAAAGTTTCCCTTGAGTAGAATGCTAGGCTTTCCTTGTGGGGATCATGCAGCAGAAGGATATAAGCAGAATACATCCAGATTCTCTGAGCTACCAGTGTCTTCAGACCTCTTGGATTATGCTGGAATGAGTTGGACCAAAGAGCTATTTGTAGTTTACAGCTCCCTACATATCAGAAAGAACTAGTATCCTGGAAGCTGACCAGGATATTATGCAATGTTTCGGTGTCTGTCCAGTATTTCTGAAATTGATTCCCTTCTCTCCAGTGATTCCCTAAAGGTAGAAGCAGCTTATCAATTATAAACCCTCTGACCAAAGTGTTTTAATTTTTGTTTTTTTTAAGATTTACTTTGGAATTTTTTTTTCAGTCTGGGAGTTGATCCCAAGACATTACATTACTTCTGTGCTAGACCCACAGCCCTCTAATTTTTTAAACATATTTTTAGTTGTTTTTTTATTCAAGATAGGAGACTAAAACTATGAATTTTAATAGGAAACCAACATTTTGAATATAATAAACTTAAAAATAATGTAAAACAAAGATAAAATATCTTAAGGCTTGCAAGAAAGTTGATCACTTTGGAGTCACTTTTCCAATTACTATTTTTATTACTTATGTAAATTGTGTTGGAATAAATTTGTTATCTTAACTGGAAAGGAGATGATGCAATGTATTAAAACTATCTTCTGATTATTCCCAGACCAGGTTGATTTGCTCTGTAGGGTCTAGGGAATAGAATTGGGACCAATACAGAAAATTAGATTTTTGATTCAATGTAAATATTGACTTTCAAAGATTTCATTCAAATAATGACACAGATAGGTTTTTATGGTTGGTGAACTTCTGGCTGTTTTAAGTATTCGAGGGAGGCAATCAGCAATGTATTCAAAGGCAGAGATTCTTGCATGTAATATTCCCTATTTGAGACATTTTTTTCAACATTCAGGGCACATTTGTGCTTTTGTAATTATTTCTGGACACATCTCCACTTCTGACATGTAAGATTGAACTGAGAAGAGCAATCAAAATTAAGTGTAATTTTGATTTAAGTGTGCCATGTAAGTTTTTATTCTTCAAATTGGGTAAGCAATGTCTAAATGATGCTATTCCTTGTTTTCTTCTAGGGAAAAAGAAGCAAAATCTCAGAAAAGAACTGGGCGTTTAGTGAAAGCCACTGCCCCAACAGAGGTGAGACTATCAGGAGTCAACCTGTTATATGTGCTTTTGGGTGCTGTTTGACCCTAATTAGAGCTATCTGTTTACTTCCTAATTACCAGGTTATTCCTGTCATGAAGCCAAATACTTGGAAGGGAGGGACCCTGGCTTAGTCCAGGGGTGGGCTAAATATCTGGTACATCTTGTCTCCAGGCCCAACCCATGACCCAACTCCCTGAAAACATTTTGGGTACTGACAGGTGCTCTGAGTTGAAGTAAGCCAGGGTGGTGTGTGTCTTCCGGGACCATTTCACATACCTCCTGTCCTGACTACCTCCAGAGAGAAGCTTTCTGGTGCTGTGGAACTAAGATCAAATTCCAAAATTCTTACTATGTAACCTAGGCACTTTGTGTATCTTTGGTTACTATTGTTATTTTTTTAATCTGTGAAATGAGTCATATTTAAAATGAAAAATTAAATTTAAAAAGTTGCACGGTGTTTAACATGTGTTGGCAGGCACTTGGCTCATTCTATTTCCTSTCTTTTTTCTTCTTTTGGATTCTATTATATATCTTTTCGAATACCTTCAAGATTCTCCTAATCGGCTAAGGTTGATTATTTGTATCTATTTTGTAGACTGAGACTCAGGTTAATATTTTGCTTTAATAAAGCATTCACTGATAAAAAAGATTAAGTAATAAGAAGGAAAGACAGATAGATTTAGGTTACTACCTCGTCATTTCATGTTGATAAGTCTATATTTTTATTTATACAAATATTTTAGTTTTAGAATATAAAATAAAATTTAAAAATAAAAGATGTGGGACCATATATCAGTGGGAATTTTTGATCTATGACATCTCACAATTAGTTGGCAAAACTGGGGCCTGTCACCAACTATCCTAACTACTCACACCACCTCCAGATATCCTATGTGGCTTCTTCTTCAATTTTTTTCTTTCTCTTCTTTTGGCCCTGACACATAATTAAAACAAGCAGTCTGAGCAGGTACAACCTAATTACTTAAAACATTCATAGTCTAGCCAACTTACCTCCCTCCATGGCTGTATTACTCAGAGATGTCTGAGAATCTCAACCTCCATGGTAAACATGGTCAATTAATTTCTCGTCCTGGGTTCAGTTAGTCTCACTTTTAAAACAATAACACAGCCAACACACAACTGGTCAATCTCTGTAAATCCTTTATCTGTGACAAAAGAGATATGTGTCTTTTTAATTAATTTTTTATTTTTTTATATATGTTTTATGGCACAAAAATATGTAGGAGCCAGAAATGGTTAGCAACAACATTTAAATCTGCCTTTGTCATATGAGGGAGGTCACTATGTAAAATCCAGTCTCTTCTTCCTGACATATATCTGTATATTTATATATCTGATCAACACAGGGTGTTTAAAAATCATAAAACAAAAACAAAGGGCAAAAATCAAACACACACACACACACACACACACACACACACACACCACTCCAAATCTTAACAAATCTATTTAAAAATCTATTTAAAAATATTACTAGTAAGATGTTTATATCTCTAGAAATGATTTTTGAGTTTCAATCAAATAGAAGTTTTTTAAGAAATAAAATTACAAAATTCTGATGATTATTTTCCTGAGTTTTAATTTTTAACTCTAGATAAATAACATGCAAATATTTGGTTTTCTACTTAAAGAAACCACTTACTTATAAGCTAAGGTGGTTAATATTTGGCTGTGTGCATTTCAAATAATTTGTCTAGATATTAAATATTTTTTTGCAATTATACTATGTTTTTGTTGGCGTTTTTTCTCTCCACTGTAAAAGAGAACAATCTACTCACTTTCTCTGCTTAGGTTTCTCCCACCAAAAATCAACCCCGACCCTACCTCTGAGAATGAAGCACTCTACTTGTTCGAGAATGTTCCACCTATAGACATTCTCTCTCCATTTTATTCTTGATCTCTTCTTGTTCATCTAGTATGTAATCTACTCACCTCCCAATTCTAATATTCACTCCATCAACAAGCTTTCTTGGTGCTGCCTTCAAAGTATATCTCAAACTGAACTCCTTTTCACAATTTCTATTTCTGCCACACCAATTCAGAATCCAGACTTTCTGATCTCCAGTGTGTTTGGTCTATGTGGAGATTTTCAGTTTTTAATTGATGAATTTGTTCATTTAATATTTCTCATGATTCTGGTTGCCAATGTTACAAGACATTAAATTTGTGTGGGTATAGGAGTATTTTTAGCTTCTCTGTTCTTTTTCAAGTTGGTTCACTGCTTTAATAACTAGTAAGGAAAGTCCTGTTTCTTTGTTCTTGTAATTAAAACTTGACTAACATACATATAGAGAGAGAGTTTCCATGTATATAAGAAATGAAAAATTACTGAGTTCATAAAACTTCAATTTGAATTTGGGAAATTAATATGTTCAGCAATACAAAGAATTAAAAATTAATTTAGGTAAAATTGGCTTTTTATAATACTAACTTGTCAAACTCAAGAATATAGAATAGTTTGTCATTAATTCATATTATTTCTATGTATTTTAGGAAATCTACAAAATAGTCTCCACAAAAATTCTTATATTTTTGTTAATATTTACAAAATTTACAATTTCATTGATATTTTGAGTAGTATTTTTTCATGATATTTCTATATGCATACTACTTATATAGACAAATTCTATTGATTAAGGAGGTTCATCTTATATTAGACAACTATGTGGTATCTTGTTAATTTGGGTGGTTTATTGAATATAGTGTTGATAACAACATCAGTATAAAACAGGTGTTTATCATTTTCTTTCATTATTAGTGCTCCTTTATTTTCTCTTTTTCCTTATATAATTGGCAAGGATCTATATTTGAAATGTTAAACAGTAGCGATGGTAATAAATATCAAACTAACCTCTCTCTCCTCATATTGAAGGGAAGAGCATCTCTAAAATTTCTCCATTAGTTATAATATTTATAGTAGGGATATTTTATATATATTTTAGAAAGTTTCAGAAACTCTTTCTGTTCTTAGTTTGCTAAATCTGTGTTGGTCATTACCACACAAAATGCCTTGTCTGCAACTATTAAAATAATCTGATATTTCTCCTATCAATATAATAAATTTCTGGATAGATTTCCTGATTAATTAAACTACAATTGTTTGCTTAGGGGAAATCATAATTAGTCATAATATTTTGATATGCCATTGGATTTGGATAATATTATAGAGTTTGACATTTATGTTTATAATTAAAGTGACTCTATAACTTTCTATTGTAATTATTCTTATTAGTTTGTAAATATATATGAAATACCATTGAGGTGCAGTGCTTCAAGTGGTGGCTGAGTGAGGAGGCCAGCAAATGCAGACATGAAGTTAAGCAAACAATCATGTTAGCACTCTGAGAATTAACAAGCAGGTATGCCAATCTTAGAAGCATTTATGTTTGAAATACTGCCTAACTTTGGATAAGAAGAGTGAGAGTCTATGATGTTCTTGCTTAGGAATATCTCCATCTCACCCTGCCTCAGTTGGATTTGAGGTTCTGTTCAGGGCAAGCCATGAGCATCAGCAAGTGCAGGGAAGCTACTGGAGAGAGCTTACCCAATTTAGAATAATGGGCAGCTACCAACCCCAGAGATTAACAGGTAGAAGTGATGATCTTCACCAAGAGTAAGGAGGGTGGCCTAAGTTTGCAGGTATGTTTGGAATGGAGTTGTCACATGTGGATATCAGAGAATAAAAAGGCTATGCATGCCCTTAAAAGACACAACACATCCCAGTAGAGAGCAAATGCTGGAGTAGGTATACAAATGGTCTAAACTTCACACATCCTCCTCATGCACAAAGGTCCACCTACAGAAGATGGAAGTCTTTTTAGGCAAGGTATTTGAGCACAAAATTAGGTCATATCATTGACTGATTCCTAAACTACAAAGACTAGGGTGAAAAACATAGAAGCTAGGCTTACAAAATAAAAACTGAGTATTTTCTTAGCAGACACATCAGCAACTACAGATTATAAGAAAACAAGGTTTCAAAAGATTTAGTGTAGTGAAAGAAACTAAAAACTAACAACTAAATAAATTATTCAAAATAAATTTTAGAAGGATAAATCATAATCTTGAGTTTCTATTGTACATTATCTAATATGTTCAGTTTCAGTAAAACTTATGAATAATACAAATAGTAAGACTATGTGACCCACACGCAGAGACAGTTGTGTGATAGCAATACCAGAAACAGGAAAGAAAGAAAAAGGGATAGGAATATTATTTGAAAAAAGAGTGACCTAAATTATCTCAAGTTGTTGAAAAAATTAATCTGAACATTCAAGAAGCTCAACAAGCCCAAGAGTCAGTCAATAGAGACCCAGTAGTCCCACTGGTTAAAAATGTTTTAATTACAAAGACAAAGAGAAAAATTTTAATGAGAAAATAAAAATAACACATTCTATATACAGATTTCAAATAAAAGCTGAATTTTCATCTGAAATAACAAGGACAACAAGGCAAGGTAATGATGTGTTCATAATGCTGAAAGGAAAGAAAATTAAAATATTTCATACCTTTCAAAACTATACTACAAAAAATAAGGCAAAATAGATATTCGTATATCAGTGAAATGAGATATTATGTTTCTAACAGAACTTCCTCAACAAATGATAATAAATGAGATTATTTAGCTTATAGTAAACCTCTACCAGATGGCATCCTGGGCCTACAGAAGGAAATGAAAACCACCAAAAATGTTGAAAATATGGGCTAATAGGAATTACTCTATGAATACATTTTTTTTCTTATTTTTCCTAATTTATTTTAAATATTTTATATTGTTAAAAGTAACAACTCTAATTCTTTTTTGTTGGGTTGTAGATATACACAACAATATACAAATGGGAATGGAGAAAATAGAGCTATATTGGGGAAAAAATTGTATATTTTACCAGAATTAAATATCAATCTGAAATAGATTACAATAAATTAGTATTTATATTGCAATTACTAGAGTAACTACCAAGAAGAAAAGA